CAGCATGGGTGTGCATGCAGACCAGGAACATGAAGAAGAGTCAGTGGGCAGTGCCAGAGCAGAAAAGGCAGATACTACATGCACAATGCATGGCACTAAGTGGTCACAGGACTTTGGAGGAGGAAGCCTCAGCTTCAGTTTCCTCAACTGCAAAATAAGAGCACTGAATCAGGCTCCATGAGTTTACAAAAGCAAAGAAGAGTTGATATGAAACCACTGTATAGCTATATAATTTTTCCTTGAAACTCACCAGTGAAGTCTTTAGGACCCAGTAGTAATTGGCTCTCTCCCACCATTAATTACATTCTGGCCACTTGTCAGCTAACACAATTGTCAGACTCCTTCAGCAAATGTCTGTTTCATAGCAAGGACCGTTTACAGTAAGGACAAACAATTGGGACTCATTAATTCAATAATTAGGAATTAGGACACTGCTTATGCATCTATTGTCTACTCTAGTCAGCTATGTTAAGTAAGCTCTTCAGTTTTCATCAGAGCAATTATGCTAATAAGCTTGAAATTTTCCAAGAGTATTATACCTTCATACACTTTCCTGCCTAGCAGCAGCCTGGCTCAGTCAATATTGTCACCCACAGACAATTATAATGAAAGCATAAGGCCCTATTGTTGGCATATGACTACCAAATAATCTCCCCTCACAACAGAACTTCAAACAATTTGGATATTGTTCTTTCAGGGTTTAGACACTGGCCTCTTTTATTCTTTTTCCAAAATATGTAGATCTCAGATATTTAAACGCCTTTATGGGAGAGCTCATTGCATCGGAATTGTATTGTAATTTTCCAAGTAATATTTGAACAGTCACTGGGTTATCCAATGATCTATTCTTCTAATCATTATTTATCCATTTAAGTGTAGAGATAAGAAATAGAATACTACGATGCCTGGAGAATGATGAGAAATATAATTTGTTTTGCCATATATTTTTGTCTTTATCAGAGCCAACTTCTCTTTTAATCTCTTTCTCTCTTTAATTATAAAAAATCCTACCTGTCTTATTTCAAGTGACTTTGGCCAAAGAGTGAGAATTTTCCACCATGATCAATCAATGCTTCTGTGGTATATGCATGACAGATACCTGATGAACACTTGTTAAATTTCAAGTTTTTTCCTCAGATATGCCTTATTCCTGTCTCTTGCATATTCTATCAGATGTGAAATACTTTTTCTTTTTAGCAAAAACTAATGTGAATAAGGATTGTGTGTTGGGGGGCTGCATATGTTCAAATCTGCAACATAAATTCATTTGGAACCTGAAATTTCACTGTATCAATATGAAAATCTAGCTGGTGTTGGATTTCTTCCTTATCATTTACAATAAAAGTAACTCCACACATTTGTTCTTTAAAATTTTCACTTATCTCATTTAATCAGTATCCTCTCAGTTGCAAATAACTGGATCTTTCCTTAAGATGTAGTAATGCTCACTGCAATTTAATCCCACTAGGATGAGCAAATGATGTTGAAAAGAGACCCAACAGTTGTATGGAGGGCCACTATAAACCGGAAGAATGGGCGCAAAGCTGTGTAGAATGTTTGCAGACCTGTGGCATGTTTTTCTTTTATACAAATGCTGTATTTCATCTTTCTTCAATTAGTATTTTGGTAAGGGTAGGGGAAGACAAGTGAGAATAAGTTGTCCTTGTCCTTCAGGAATTTACAATCTAGATGGGGAGACAATACATATATACACAGGAGAAGCTTAAAAAAAAACTGCTCAAGACTAAATGAATGGATCAATATATTAATCAAAATGAAGTAATGGTATGTATATTACTGTAGGTATGAGAGAAAATTCATACGTGAATGGTATAGCTTTGGGCTGGGGAAGCCAGAAAGGGCTTTAAAAATTGACCAGAGAGGAGAGAATGAGTTGTTTTTTGAAAGATCACGACTGTGTGTGTGTGTGCGTGTCTCTGTGTGTCTTTGTATGGATAGAGAGATCAATGAACGAATGAGGGTACTGAAGCTCTATACAGAGCTTCGAAAGATGAGCAGAAGTTGGTCAGGCAGCATAGGGCAAGTGCTTTCAGCAGAACTGACAGCACAGCACAGGCACTGGGGAATGAGAGAACATGGTGATTAGGGAAACTGTCAGGAGTTCAGTCTGGCTGGGGAAAAGGGAGCAAGGTAGGGAGTGTTGAGATGTGACACTACAGAGACTGGCCTGGGATGGATCATTAAAGATCTTTTTTAGGTTATGCTAAATAGTCTTGATTTTATCCTGGAAAAAAAAAAACAACAAACTGGAAGAAGGACACTATCAATCAAGGTAGTGACATCAGATTTACATTTAGAAAATATGCTATTAAAAAAATTCTGGCAGCAGGAAGGAGGATGAATTGGAAGGGAGCAAGAGTAGAGACAAGAAGACCAGCTGAAGAGCTAAAGCAATGCTTCCAATGAAAGAAAATGAAGTCTGAACCAAGGCAGTGAGCTTTTTCAAAAAAATCAAACTACAAAAGAAATAATGATGAAATTTAAATTTTCCACTTATGACCCTCAGGCTCTTTCCAGAAGAAACCACCATTATCATTTTTCTTATGTCTTTCTAGTGCACTTAACTACTTTTGAATTGGATTCTGAATTGATTTAGATGTGATTTTGCAGTGTCATGTTTAATGAAGGGTTAAACTTGGTCTCTATCCATATAAAAATAAGACTCATTCAATCTAATTTATACAATAGGGACTTACTGATAGATCTTGAGGTACCCTAGTGGATTTCCAAGCTGTTTGTTGCCATGGCAATCCCTGCTTTATGTGCCTTCAGTTTCTGTCTTGACCCACTTTGGTTTGGATGCATTTCTAGCAGAGGGGACAGTAGGCATGCTCCCATTTCTAAGCCCCTTGGGGACTGCATTGGTAGCCAGATTGTCCCTCCTCGCTCTTCCTCAATTATACATCCTGGAAGGCTTCCTAAATGGAAGAGTTATGGACCCAAAGTCTGAGACTTTGGATAAATGGTCTAACTTAGACCTCAGGCATACTACCCACTTAATTAGTGTAACCTCAAAGTACCTAACTCGCATACTAGGAGTATATTCTGGAATCCCAGCCAGACCTGCTTTTGTTCCTATTCCTACTACTCAGGTGGACACCCAAATCCCCACCTTGTTCACATAGGAGAAAATACTTGTGTGACCAGGGTAGCTTTTAATATGCTACTTCATATTACAACTGTTGACTTGTCTTAGCAGTAAGACAGACCAAAAACCAGAAACAGCCTTCCTACTTGTAAGTTGAACAGCCTTTGCCCTAGACCGGCCTCCCTAGTGGCTCTGGAAAGAGGAAACAAGGCAGAGGAGGTGGGACAGCTCCACCAATTGGCTTTCTGGGTCTCCTTCACAAACCATTTTCATTAAGGGGTTAGTAGAGCTATCTCTAAACTAATAATGGAAGAAACCACCCTGGAAGGGAATTTTTGGAGGAAGAATTTCTGCTGAGTAGGTTCGTCTTAACATAAATGTTTGCAAGCAACAGAAGAGAAGTTAATGATCACCGACTTTCCTTGAACTTCAAAGCCCTATGCTATTTACTTTCATATTTATTATTTAATCATCACACAACTATATTTAAGTAGGTATCGTTGCAGGTGAGTTCCATTTGCCAAAGATTACAGATCTGGAACAGAGTCGTACTCAAAGCTACAATGTGCCTGACTCCTGGGTTTATGCTCTTCATCGCAACTTTCCCGTGAGAAAAGTTCCTCTATGTGAGAGGCGAGAGACGGTGGAAAGGACAGAGATTTTCAAAGGACATCTGGAAAACTTGTATGACTCAGGGGATGGCCACATCTCTCTTAAGGTCCATCTGAAGGCACCCTCCTCTGGGACACGTTCATTTCTCAGAAGAAAGAGTATACTTCAAAAACTCTTATTGTTTGGAGTGCTCATTTGGTACTCTCTGATTACTGATTTGTATTGCTAGTGCTTCTTTCCCGCTTATCTGAAGTCCCCAATTATATCTATAAAGTAAGCCATACATGAGAATGAATTACTGGACAGGCACCCCCAAAAAAACCGTGTTCTAGTCTTGTCTCTGGCACCTGTGTGAGACCTAAGTTTCTTTTCAACTTTAGTTCTACGGTACTCCCTGCCTGTGTCACAGTGGGTGCATAGTAAACACCTGATGTGATTAGTTGGGCTCAATATTTTGTCAGCAGAGGCCTGGGTGCTCCTAAGGGTAAAAGCAACAAGGTTTTCCCTGGGTGCGGTTATGCCCTAGTATGTGGTAAGTTTAGGGCCTTGCTGCCTCCTGTAGGGCAGATGCCCAAGCTGGGGCCTAAACGCCGCAACGGGAGAAAAGAGGAAGGGAAGATATCCCAGCCATTAGAGGACATTATGACATGCGTTTCTTTTAGACTTCACAGACCCTTCGGGACGTGGATTATTGATATCATTTTTACTGAAGACGGAACCAAGATTTAGGTTAAACACTTAGATCTGGCATCCCCTACCCGGGCCCTAAGTGCTCTCCAAAGACTCCACCTCTGGGCTTATTTACATCGCGAACCTACCCTCGTTCAGCAGCACGAGGGCCCCGCCCATTCATTTACATAGGGCGCGCCCAGTCGCGGGACCGGTCCTCGGGCTTCTCCCAAACCCCCTTTCTCTCCTAGGCGCGTCCTCCGGGCTGCCCGGGGCCTCCCAGTGGGATGAGCACGTGTCCGCTGCCGGCCTCACGACGGACTGTGGACGAAGCGGCAGGCCCCCACAGGCCCTACCCCACGACGTTGGCGAGGGATCGGGCGGTCGCCGGGAATCGTCTTCCCGCGCGGCAGGGCGCAGGCCTTTCCCCCGCCGCCCCCGAACTCCGGTGGGAGCGCGCCGGAGTCCAACTCAAGCGAAACCGCGGGCGTCCAGCCCCGCCCGGCCGCGCCCCGCCTCGCCTCGCCTCACGCTAGACTGGGGAGGCGGGACCAATCAGCGAGCGACGTCTCCCTTCCGATTCGAGGCCCCCGACGCGCGGCTCACACCCCGAGCTCCCCGCGTGCTGATTGGCTGCGGGCGCCGCCGGTCCGGCCGAGAGGCGGGGCGGGCCGTAGGCAAAGGGAGGTGGGGAGGCGGTGGCCGGCGACTCCCCGCGCCCTGCTCGCCCCCCGGCCCTGCCCGCGGCGCTCGGCCTCGTTCCTTTCCTCCTCCGCTCCCTCCGTCTTCCGTGCCCGCCCCGCGCGGCTTTCGGCCGGCGTGCCTCGCGCCCTAACGGGCGGCTGGAGGCGCCAATCAGCGGGCGGCAGGGTGCCAGCCCCGGGGCTGCGCTGGCGAATCGGCGGGGCCCGCGGCCCAGGGTGGCAGGCGGGTCTACCCGCGCGGCCGCGGCGGCGGAGGAGCAGCTCGCCAGCCAGCAGCCCGCCAGCCGCCGGGAGGTGGGTGCGTGGCGCCACGGCGGCCGGCGGCCGAGGGCGGAGGGCGGAAGCGGAGGTGGGCTGGCGGTGGAGGGCGCGGCCGTGCGGGCGGCCGGTAGGGCTGCGGACGCGCGCCTGAGGGGAGGAGGGGCAGCGCGGGCGCGCGCGTCCTCACCCCCTCCTTCCCCGCGGGCGGCGGCCAGGCTCCGTCCCCTCCCCTTCCCTCCCCTCCCTCCCCTCCCTCTACCCTCCTCTACCCTCCCGCGCGCCGGGGCAGGCGGCCGGGCCCGGGCCTGGGGGCGGGGCGGGAAGACGGCGGCCGGGAGTGTTTTCAGTTCCGCCTCCAATCGCCCATTCCCCTGTTCCCCTCCCAGCCCCCTCCATCCCATCGGAAGAGGAAGGAACAAAAGGTCCCGGACCCCCTGGATCTGACGGGGCGGGACCTGGCGCCACCGTGCAGGTAAAGCCTGAGCGCCCGCGGGCCTCCGGCTAGGGGTGTGTTTGCGTGCGTCCGCGGCCGGGGCGATGGGCTGTGTCACATGGCCGCGGCGGGTGGGGGCTGGGGTGTGGTGAGTTCGGGGGCTGTGGGTGCGCCGGCCCGGGCTTGCGGGTTCGGGGCCAGAGAGCTGGGGAGGTACGGTGCTCGGCGGCCCGGCGCTGCCGCCCAGCCTGGCGGGGGTGGGGGCTGCCTGCGTCCCTTCCCCTCGCGGCTCTAACACTCCATAGTTTGTGGTTCTGATTTTTAAAGCCGAAGGGCCAGAGCTCTTGTTTCAGGAGTTGTGGGGAAGCCTTGTTAGGGGCGCGTAATACTTTGCCTCCACTTTTTTTTTTTTTGGTCCGGTAACCTTTGTTAACCATAGTAGTCTCGGGTTTTCCATGGCTTATGTGTACTCACAAACACGCACACAGCTGATAACTGTGATCATCCTTCACTCACTTGTGAAAGTTCTGCGGGTGGAGCCTATTAGTTTTTACCACACGCTTTTGGAAAAGCCCTCGAAGTGATTTCTTTTATTTCAAACTAGGTTTTCAAAATTGCAGCTTACTTTGTTCTCTTGGAGGGGGATACTGTCCTTGGGTCAGGTCCTTTTTTGTCTTTTATTTATCCTTACGATTTCCTTTTGATCCTAAACAGAAAATACCTGGGTTGGTTTTGTTATTCCTTCCTCTTAACACTTTAAAAGCAAAATACCACCAGTGTATTGTCAACCATATCTTTTAAAAAGAAATCTCCAGGGAAAACGAGTTTGCAAGCAGCATTTTCCATCAAAGTCATGTCTGGTTTGTTACAATTTGGACTATCTTAAATTTGGGTGTGTGAAACTTTTAAAACGTCATGTGTAAAATAATTGTTAATAAATAAATAACTTGGAGTAGTTACATCTTTTTAGAAATATCTTTGCGATGTGAATTTCCAAAATTCTTTTTCTCTCTTCTGACTTCATATGAATTGAACCTGATAGTTTCGTATGAATGAATCGCTGATAAGATGTTTTCCTTTAGCCTAATAATTAATTTGCTCTTATGCTGAAAATTTGCTATTCTGCTTTAACCCCTGTTAAAAAAGTTTCTATCTTACAGAGAAGTTAGTTAAATTGTTAAATGGAGTTTCAACAGTTTTAATACAAGAATTAGTGAAGCAGAGATGGAAGAAATAATTTAAAATGAGCTTCATAAATATACCATAGTTTGAGGGTTTTTAAAAAGTTTGCCTTCGGAAAACCCATACAAGATATTTAAAGAATTTCCTCTGCCAGAAGGTCATTTAGCAGACGTTTATATTAAATTCAAAAGTAATACTTTTATTTTTAAAGTTCCTTACCCTTTGCCGTAAACTAAGCTTTGGTAGTAAATATAAATAGTTCACATCTTTTGGCATTTGTAAAGAGTGTACCCACTTTTACTATAAATACTAAATTCTATTGGATTTAATTGAGTTCAAGGCAGTTCACTGGCCAGGTTTAATGTAACGTGATTGGAAACGTTGATTTTGGGGTTTTAGTAAGAAAATGCTCTTAGAGCTTGGTTTTTATACTTAGCCACACCTTCTTAAGTGCGGCCACAAGCATTGTAGGTGTTCAACAAAAGTTTGGTTTTTCAAGGTTGTAACCTACGTTTACTTAGTCATAAGTGGTCATGTCTCTACACAGTCTGTACGCTTCATGAAATAATAGTCTTTTAAGAAACTGTGCAGGGTAATTTCTTGTTGTTTGTGACTTACCAGGCTTGGTATGTGTTTTAACTCTGGTGTAGGAATATTGGGGATGGTTTTGTGTATTTCAACAAAACTTCTCTTTGATAGAAACAAAGGTTGTTTCTATTCTACTTCAAGATGGCCAGAGGTGGTTGTCACCTTTTCATTTTCACATTGTAAATATTAGAATCATGTTGCTATAATCTGGTTACTTCACCTTTGGGGGAATATATGTGAATGGAAAAGCTCAGTTTAGCTGTGTAAACTGTTGGGCAAAGACCTATTGAATTTTTACATTTTGCAAGTATTGTCAGTTTTAAAAGACTTTCCTTATTCTTTTTTGGTTTTGATTCTGTTGGTTTTGTGCTTTAGGGCTCCAAAAACCTCCTTTTGTAGCAGCTTTAAATACAGGTGTTTTTGTAATGCATATAAAAGCTGTATTTAGTGCAGCCTGGCAGATGGAGATTTATTCATATTCTTGGGACAAAGAGTCATTTTTAGAGGGTGGAGGGGGACATGTCTTTTAGATTCCTAGCCTTTTGATGGGTGTAGAAGAGCCATTTTTAGGCCCATAGTTTCTGTAAGAGGTAAGATGTTTTCCACTAAGTATTCCAAAGGTATGTCAGAAAATGTGAAACGTAAAGAATTTAAAACCAGTTTAGGAGAGGTTGTGCATTTATTTTCAACAAATAACTTGTATTGAGCAAGTAGCATTTATTCATTTATTCAATAAACAGCTTTTTCTGTGTGTCAGGCTCTGGACTAGGCAATAAAGTATCTTACCAGCAAACAAGTACACCCCTGTTCCTTAATGGAGTTAGAAAAGTGGAAACTCATGTCCTTTGCCCAATTCTCCAGTGTTCAGAGTAAGACAGTTGTTACTGAGCCATTCCTAAAGTGTGCTTGCCTTGCTTCCTATCACATGTAACGGATAGCACTAGGGAAGATGTGAAGTGTTAACTCAGTGTCGCTGGGAACAATTGTCACCAGTTTTACACAGCTTATACAAACTGAAGATACAACCAGTCTTTCAGAAACATGTTTATTGCTGAACAGATGTACACTTGTAGAGCTAAGCTTCTTCTGACCTTAATTTGATCACTTATTGCCCTTCAGTTACAGAAACTGGTTAAGGAAAGAAAGCAAAGTTGAATAACTCAGGTTCCAGTGGAAGGATCAGGAATAAAGTGTAAAAACAGGTAGTTAAACCGAGACTCAGGATTGGGCAGCAGTCTCGTGTAGTGGGTTTTGGAATCAGAGAGCCGTAGGCTAATATTTTGTTTCTCAGTTACAATATTGGGCAATTTACTGCTTAACCCCTGACTGTTGGTTTTCTGACAGAAAATGGAAGTAATAACCCCTTCCTTATTCAGTGATCACAATTAAAGTACCTAGAACATTGCCTGAGACATAAGGGTCCTCCCAAATGATTTCTTCCTCTCTTGTAGTTGTGGGTTTGTTACTTGGGCTTTTTCTAATCCAAATGATTTGCCTACACTATTATTATTGACCTATTATAAAATGTATATGAGAAGCAGACAATGAACAACAAAGGCCTGGGATAGCCAAATTGTCCCAGTCGATAGCTTAAAGCCTTGGAGCCCTTTAATAAGAACGCATTGGCATTTACTTAAAGTGTTTCTAACAAGCAAACTTATCTGGCTTCTAAACCTGCACTAGATTAGAAACAAGTAGATTATGGGTACTGTGGGAGGTTTACAGGGGGTGTGGTGGGGGCTGGGTAATAGGATGTTAGCCTAGTGTCTCTTGTAAGAAAAAAACAGATAACAGCCCGGTGAGGATAACAGAGATAATCTACAAGACACAAAAATAGTCAAAGCCTGACTAGCATGTCTGGGGCCATTGAGTGCAGGACCAGACCTGAAAGCATAGTAATGAATGTTCATCAATTAGCTTAAATCATGTTTGGGAAAATCTTTTTAAGAGTGCAGTAATCTACATAATATACTTTAGATTGTCACTCAGGATGATTAAGAAATGTTCTTAAAGGGGTTGAAGATTGTGCTATAGCTTATGGTTTATTTCATGAAAGATCCACAGTACCTGTTATGACCAAGATGTTTTTCATTTGTTTTGCCATTCAGACAGCCATTCAGATTCTAAGCTGAAAGAGTAGCCGGCAGTAAAGAAAGGCTGTCTCAGTGTGGTAGCACCCTATGCCACCCCCTTTCTTCAGAGTAAGTAATTTTTTGTCAGAATACAGAAGTATCATAAAATTTCACTTGTGCTTTGACAGTAGCGTATGCTTTTCACTGTGCGTTGAGACAGAGTATGCTCGAGATTTCTAGGATAAAGCAAGAGTGAATAGTTGGCCAGTCTCTCTGTTGAGGGTTTCTTGACTCTTGTAATGTCTGCCCAGTATTAGCATTGATAATACTTCTGCCCAGTATTAGCATTGATAAGTTTTTTGATCTCATTTCTTCTAACCTTACCTCAGGGTTACTTTTTAAAACATCTACACCATCAGATAATTATTGGTGACCTTGTAATGTGTAGCCTTGGCTGTTTTTAAAAATCGGATTTTTTTTTTTAGCAGTAGTACAAAAAAAAGTACTAGCCTTTTTGGTTTAAAAATGCATAGAGGCTTATTGCTTGTCCCTGATCAATTTTGATCATTTTTTTCAGGTTGGTGTAATTGTGATGTATTCAGTTAGGACATAATTCAATGTTGATTCTAGATTTACATCTGAAAGATAGCTCTCAGCTTCAGTTCAGCAATTTCATGTAGGAAGAATGTAATTTTTCCAAGCCAGTTGGATTTAGACACTGCCTTTAGTTTGGTCAGATAGCCAGAAATATTAGGGCA